AATGGACGGTTTCATTCAACGTGCTATATATCCAAAGCATACGTGGATCGGTCAGTACCTACACTTTGACAGTAATGTTCCAATAGGAGGATTGATGCGAACACTGTTTGACAGGTGCAGAGTGCTTTGTACTGCTGACATCCTGGGCGATGAACTCAGTTAAACAGAACACTTTTATTTTGGATGAGACTCAACTGTGAAAAGTCAGGGCTTCAGCTAGATTCGAACCAGCTACGGAAACAATATGCCTTAAAGAGGCAAACGCTCTACCGGCCGAGCTACGAAGCCACGCCAGGAGCTCGGAAATTTCACATTTTGACTCGGTTACCTACCCGTCACACTGTCTCATATAGAACAGATTTTATTAAGCAACGGTTATCCGGGAGAATTTATAAGAATATTCAACAGCAGCAATGTACAAAATAATTCTCAGCCCACATTGGCCAAGAAGACAATAGGTTTATAACTGCCGTTCAAGGGAGACAATGTGTGTCAAATACCTAGACAGTGCCCAAGGTTAGCTGCCATACGCACGTTGTTTGCGGCTGTGTACCGCCATGATGAATGGTTTTCAAAAATCTGGTTCGTTCTGAAAACTTTCTCAGAATTGTACGTTTCCGCTAACTCATTTCCCCTCTCCAGCTCTACAAAAGCACACTAAGTGTACTTTATGAAGCAAATTGTAAAAAATGACGTCGTCACAATAATCATGCGAATTACGGTGTTTACTCTAGGATAATTATAATAAGACTTCCTCAAATCAGACAATACCTTCATAAGTTCAAGATAAACTAAGATCTACTTATGTCTCCTCGTTCAATATCTTGCTAAAACTGTAACTAATCATTACGGTGATTCCGATTCCAACGATCGAAACACCTGCGTTCATTTGTATACCAGTCGAATTGCATTAACTAGGTCGTAGTCAGCTGAATGACACCCTCAGTGTCCTGCTTTTCTAACAAAACGAGAAGTATTTTTTATACTTAGTTCAAGATATACTTACATATAAATGCTCACTTAAGGGTATATTCGATATAGTGGCTGTCTTAGCTTAGTTAGCCATTACTGATATGCAACCCATTTCACCTGGCTGTATGAACAGTCCATAAATGTAACAGTTGTGTGTCCATCTGAATTACTGACGAAAGCTGACCAAGCGTAGTCTAAAGCATACTACTGCCGCGGACCAAGGATTGCTTATACTATCTACTCGCATAGGTGGTCACCTAGCAGACAATAACCAAACATTCCTGATCATCATCCGTATGATTTCATTCGTTTGTCTAAATATCCCTTTCACCTCCATTAGAAACATGTTTCAGAGTGAAAATTTGGATTAACCAGATGCGACAACCTTAAAAGTAATTGATCCGGACATGTCTTTCGAAAGCTTTTACTGTTAGCATTGTGGACAAGAAAGGACACCTCTGTCTTCCCAACCGATTACTTAATGGCTCACAGTCTGACTAAACCACCTGAACGGACTGCGCATGCAAACATTAATTTGACACTCCTGAAACCTGAATCCATTAAGTTGCTCGTAATCACCGTTTTTGTCACGAACATACTGAACTTGAGGAAGATGTGTTCAGCAGATTAACTGAACTAGGGGCATTTAATGTGAATGTAAACTGTGACGAAATGAATGATCCGCATGTAGTGGTATTTCCACCAGCAGCTGGTAGCGAATACCGACCAATTCAACGCTGTAAAATAAAAAGCGACAATTAATATCACTCATCCCAGATGCAACTGCATGTAGAATGTAATGAAGTCTGACTGACAGTACAGGTTGGTTTAAGTCGGTTGAGCACTACAGTCCGTCCTTACACTATATATCCAGATCGTGTAGAAGAAGTAGGAGTTACACAATATTGAGACGTGTTCACGTGACAACAAACCATTACGTTTTTACAGCTTATAAACTGCAGTTCGACGTGCTACTGAAAAACACAAACATTCAAATATGCAAGAAATACCATAATAGTGAATCGATGCGTATTCTTGGTCCAATTAATCAAAACGACAAGAAAACAAGCGTTACAGGATTTAAGCATTTCAATGGCTTGCCAGGAGCATACTAAAACCGAGAAACAATATTTAACAAAACGCACGAAAAATAGTTACACAGACTGAACTGTGTAGTTTGCGGCGGATGAATGTAGTTGGAACGTTAACATCTCATAAAGCTCGCCCTCGTGCTGTTTGGATTATCGATCATAATGGTTGAAAAACACAAGCACTGCACATAGTTTTCATGTCAGTACATGTTCTACATCAGCCCTTCAGAGATGGGGTAATTACCAAATTATGACCAGTTTTCAAAAGAGAGAGTAAGTAATGCAAGTTAGACTGATCAAGAAAATAACAAGGTATATTCAAAACCGTTTGAACACGAAAACCGGTAGATGCAAGCATTTCATATTGACTCTTCAGTATCAAATTTAAAATGGAATGAGACGGTTTTTTTATGTTGAACAGTTTAGGGGTGGGTGGTATGAATAGTCAGTCGATAGGTTAGGAAAGGTCATTGG